GAGTGAGGAGTAAGGAGTGAGAAGGGTGAAGGGAAGAGGGGAGGAAGAGGAGGAGGAAGAGGAGCAGGAGGAGGAGGACGAGAAGGAGGAGTTCTTTGTTGCTGTGTGTTTCGGCTGTCCACGAGATGATCAGGCACACCTGGGTCGCTGAATCGCTGAGAGGAGGATAGGGCGGAGGAGGAGGAGGAGGAGGAGGAGGAGAAGGAGGAGAAGGAGGAGGAGGAGGAGGAGGAGGAGGAGTGAGGAGTGAGGAGGAATGAAGAGTGAGGAGTGAGGAGTGAGGAGCGAGGAGTAAGGAGTGAGAAGGAGGAAGAGGAGGAGTCAGGAGTGAGCAGTGAGGGGTGAGGAGTGAGGAGTGAGGAGTGATGAGCGAGGAGTGAGGGGTGAGAAGGGGGAAGAGGAGGAGGAGGAGGAGGAGGAGGAGGAGGAGGAGGAGGAGGAGGAGGAGGAGGAGGAGAAAGGAGGAGGAGGAGGAGGAGGAGGAGGAGAGGAAGAGGAGGAGAGGAGGCGGAGGAGGGGGGGGAGGATCAGGAGTTGGAGGAGGAGGAGGAGAAGGAGGAGGAGGAGGAGGGGGAGTAGGAGGAGGAGGAGGAGGAGGAGGAGGAGGAGGAGGAGGAGGAGTGATGAATAGAAGGAGGGAGGAGGAGGAGGAGGAGGAGGAGGAGGAGGAGGGAGGAGGAGAGGAGGAGGAGGAGGAGGAGGAGGAGGAGGAGGAGGAGTAAGGAGGAGTAAGGAGGAGCAAGGAGGAGTAAGGAGGAGCAAGGAGGAGTAAGGAGGAGGGGGAGTAGGAGGAGGAGGAGGAGGAGCAGGAGGAGGAGGAGCAGGAAGAGGAGGAGCACGAGGAGGACGAGGAGTGAGGAGGAGTGAAGGGGAAGAGCACGAGGATCAGGAGGAGGAGCAGGAGGAAAGCTGCCGACGTCTCAACTGCCCCCCCCCTCTAAGAACCTCCCCAGCGTGAGAGCGTGCAGTGGCGCACGCCGACCCCAGCGAAAGACACAGCGGGACTGTGCCGACAGTCGAACCCAGCGCAGAAGAGGGAGGAAAGGTACTTGCGGGGGTGGTCGTAGGGTGGGCCTCGTAACCACGGTCAGAACGGGGCGGGCAAAAGAGGGAAAGGAGAGGTACGCGCGGGGGTGGTCTCAGGGTGGGCCTCGTCCCCACGGGCAGGAGAAGAGCGGACAGAAGAGGCAGGAGAGGTCATTGTTTGGGTGGTCTTAGTTAGCCTCGTCGCCATTGGCAGGAGCCGGGCGGGCCGAGGAAGGAAGAGTACATGTGGGGGTGGTCTTGGGGTGGGCCTCGCCGCCACAGGCGAAACCGAGCGGGCAGAAGAGGGAGGAGAGGTACTTGCGAAGGTGTTACCAGGGTGGGCCTCGTCGCCACGGGAAGAATCGAGCGGGCAGAAGAGGGATGAGAGGTACTTGTGGGGGCGGTGTCGCGTGGGCTTCGTCGCCACGGGCAGAACCGAGCGGGCAGAAGAGGGAAACGAGGTACTTGTGGGGCTGGCCTTTGGGTGGGTCCCGTCGCCACGGGCAAAGCCGAGCGGACAGAAGAGGGATGAAGGGTACCTTTAGGGGTGGTCGTGGGGTGGGCCTCGTCGGCACGGGCAGAACGGAGGGGGCAGACGAGGGAAGAGGTATTCGTTGGGGTGGTCTTAGGGTGGGCTTCGTCACCACGGGCAGAATCGAGCGGGCAGAAGAGGGAGGAGATGTACCTGTGGTGGTGGTGGTCTCAGAGTGGGCCTCTTCGCAACCGGGCAGGCAGAAGAGGGAGGAGAGATACTTGGGGTGGGCCTCGTCGCCACGGGCAGAAACGAACGGGCAGAAACAGGATGAGGAGTACTTGTGCGGCAGAACCGAGCGGGCAGAAGAGGGAGGAGAGGTACTTGTGGGGATGGTCTTCACGTGGGCTTCGTCGCCACGGGCAGAACCGAGCGGGAAGAACCGAACGGGCAGAACCGAGCGGGAAGAGAGGAATTTGTGGGGGCTGGTCTCGTCGCCATTGGCAGAACCGATCGGGCAGAAGAGGGAGGCAAGGTACGTATGCGGGTGGCATTCAGGTGGGCCCCGCCGCCACAGGCGAGTAGAAGAAGGAACAATAAACACTTGTGGGGAGGGGGGTCTTGGGTGGGCCTTGTCGCCACGAGCAAGGCCGAGCGAACAGAACAAGGGAGGAGAGGTACTTGCGGGTGTGGTCTTCGGATGGGCCTTGTCGCCACAGGCAGGGCCGAGCGGCCAGAAGAGGGAGGATAAATACTTGTGGGGGTTGTCTTGGGGTGGGCCTCGTCGCCATGGGCGAAACCGAGCGGGCAGAAGACGGAGGAAAGGTACTTGTGGGGGTGGTCTTGGGGTGGGCCCCGTCGCCACGGGCAAAGCCGAGAGGGCAGAAGAGGGATGAAGGGCAGATGTGGGAGCGGTCTTAGGGCCTCGTCGCCACTGACAAAAACCGAGCGCGCAGAACAGTGAGGAGAGGTACCTGTGAGGGGGTGCTCGTAGGGTGGGCCTCGTCGCCATGGGCAATGCCGAGCGGGCAGAAGAGGGAGGAGATGTACTTGTGGGGGTGGTCTTTGGTGGGCCTCGTCGCCACGGTGCGAGCGAGCAGAAAAGGGAGGAGCTAAGTCACCTGGCTTCGCGCATCGCGCACCTCGTTGCGCAACGCGCGATCATCTTCGCGCCCTCGTGAGGTCACCTTGGGAAAGAGCAGCTCTCCAACCGAGGCCGCGGCGCGCGAAGCGCGAGTGTTTTCGCGTCCGTGGCGGTGGCCCAGGGACAGGGAGGAGAGGTACTTCTGGGGTGGTCTTCGGGTGGGCCCCGTCGCCACGGCCTGAATCCTCTCGAGATCCTGGTCAGAACGCGCTCCAGGAGTGCGTGGGTTGGCCCCGAGGGGGGAGGAGGAGGAGGAGGAGGAGGAGGAGGAGGAGGAGGAGGAGGAGGAGGAGGAGGAGGAGCAGCAGCAGCAGCAGGAGGAGGAGGATGAAGAGGAGAAGGAGGAGGAAGATGAGGAGGAGGAGGAGGAGGACCAGTCTAAACCCAAGGGTCATCAACGATGTTGGAATAAACCCTCCCATACAACGGGTCGTTTCCACTAACTGAAATGCCCTGTTGGAAGACAACCGTTTGAAGACCCTGAAGCATGCCAATGCATTGTTCTCCGGGTTCCAACGCCACAGATCAACTTGAAGGTTGCGTCTTGACGATCTAAATCGCGCCAGAGCGCCAGTCCTGGGACGTCAACACCGCGAATTAATGTAACTGTTACACCCTCACGATCCTAAATCCTTCCAACACAGAATTTATCTTACGCGGATCATGGGAAACCGGGAAACTCTTGAAATGATACAATTACTCAATCCGCGAACCTCTTGAAAATGAGGCGAGAGCCACATTTTGAAAACCAGTCGCCCTCAATCCGTGAAACTCGTACACATGTATAAAACGAATGCGCGCGACGCGAAGGCGAGAGCCACATTTTGAGAACGACCCGCCCTCCATCTGTGAAGCTGTTGTCATGTTTAAGCTTCAGGGTCATAAATGGTAAGGGAATCTCAGGCGAAGCGCCCGGTCCGCCCAAAAAACTGGCCCCGAGATACGACAGGGAGAAATCATTTATAAGGAATGGAGGAGGAGGAGGAAAAGGAGGAGGAGGAGGTGGAGGAGAGGAAAACGAGAAGGAGGCACAGGAGGAGGAGATCAGATAGCAAACTGCTGACCAGCGTCGAAGAGCAGGGTGGCGGAGGGAGGAGGCATGACGGACCAGGGTGGAAGAGGGAGGATGGACGAAGTATGGGAGACGAGAAGAGGGTGGAGAAGGGAGGGCGGAGGACGGACGAGGGATGGGGGGAGGGGGCAGCGCGGATCAGTCTTCAGGATGAGGGACGAGTGAGGGGGGAAGCGGGGGAGGAGGGCGGGACGGAGACGGGAAGGAGCATGGCTGTCCCCAACCTGCAGGGCGACGAGATCCATACACATCCGCCTCCGCTGGCCAGGCCCATCCTGGGCCTAGGAGCGGGCTCGGAGCGGTGTATGCGCCCCCCCTTTGGCTTGGCCAGGGAGGCATACACACCGCTCCTGGGCCCACGATGCGCCTGGCCAACAAGTGGTGGACTTGCATCGATCTCGCCGCCGAGACGAAGAACGAAACCCAGGCCGCGTGCCAGGCAGTCGCCTGTCCACGCGCCGCGCGAGGGCGGGCGCCATGCCACCGGCAGCGCGGGGGTCCCGCCCCAGGCGTCGGGCTGCCCTGGTCTCCACGGAACGTCGCCTCCAGCCGGCCCTGCGATCAAAGAGGTGTGGTGTATTCAGATGAAGAAAAGCGGCGTGAACACAGCATGTTGAGTGTCCGCGCGGATGCCTGGGATCTGCGGAGGACCCCCCGGAGCGCGCCAGGGGCGGCGCTGGAGACGCCGCGGGGGGGCTCCAACGCCGATCCAAGACATCCGCGCTGAGCTCCGAAAGTTCATGTTTACGCCGTGCTTTCTTCTTCGATTATTGGCCTGCGGGTTGGGCTATTGCGACATGCATCGGCGACTCCGACGGGTGCGGTTTGCAACCCGCACCCTGGGGGGGCGAGGACCTCGACAGAGCTTTTCGCCATGCCCCGACGAGGCCCGACGAGGGCAACGTGGTGCCCCAACACAGCCCCAACGACGCAGATCGCAAACCACCCCCCCGCGTGACCATACCATTTGCAGTCGCCGAAATCCAAGTCGGAATCCGAAATCGAATCGAATCGGAATCGATCGGAATCGAATCGAATCGGAGGAATCGAAATGAGCCCTGGAGGGGGGGCGCACCACCGAATGTGGTTTTTGAGACATAACTCGGATCTCTAGCGGCCGTTCAGGACGATCCAGGCAGCTGCGGAACGCCCTCGGCGAGGCGCTGCTGCTGGGAGGCATCCCGATGGTAGAAGGCCGCCGAGCACCGACCAACACGGCCGACAACCTTGAACTTCGAACCCAAAACGGTCCCCGACGATAACAGGGCGACCCCCCGCCTGGCCCCTCACTCGCTGCCCGCGAAGCGGAGCACGTCCTGCATGTACTTCATCAGCGTCGGGCGCAGCCTCGCCGCCGCCCCGGCCGCGCCCCCCTCGGAGCTCTTGGCCGCCTGCGGAGGGGGGCCGACAGCGGGGGACTGCCTTGCAGTCATCGTGCTGCCAGAATACGCCGATGAGGATACCAAGAAAACTACCAATTCAGAGACATGGGCCAACGTTCCGGAAGCCTCTTCAAAGAAAACGAGAGCCAAAACTGATACACACAAGCTTTCAGAAGCCCGCGCGGACTTCGTGGATCGGCGCTGGACTCTCACTGGCGCGCCTGCGGCGCCAGGGGAGGCGCAGGAGGCGCCGCCGTGGGGGCTCCAGCGCCGATCCAAGACATCCGCTTGGAGCTCCGAATGGGTCTGCTCATGCCGCTTTTCCTCCCTCGGCATGAGGAGCGCTGAGCAAGGAGCGAAGGGGCCCCCTCGGACACGAACAGGACTTCCGACCAAGGTCTGAACGTAAGGCACGGCCCGAATCCCAGAGCCGCTCCTGAGCCCAGAGTGGTCCTGGTTTCAACGCCCCACTTATGTCGGCCGCACGCTAAGATAGGTTAGGGATCCGTGGATCTGGCGCGCGGGCGCCAGATCCACGGATCGGGAACGGTACGCCCCGAAACACGAGGCCAATGATGCCTGCTCTGACGACGGAACGCGCCGCTCTTGCTGCGGGAACGAGACCCGTGGCTAATCCACGTGCCTCGATCCATGTTTGAGGCTCCTCGACTGTAGGGGGGCGGGCGCGGGGGGGGGCGATGACCTGGAAGCTGTGATGCATCGCCGACAGATCAGCGTTTGGTCCTGGGCGGGGTGGTGAGGTCAGGAACCCGATGGGCGATAAATCGGCGACTGGAGGTCGATATTGATGCATCATCCCCCCCTGGGCCAGTCACTCCCTGTCGTGGCATTTGCCAAAGTCGAAGTATGGCCACAAGAACGCGGGCAGGATCAGCCAACACCGAATGGCGAGATCGGACTGGATCGGAGCTATAATCGAATCAGGCCACACCGATTCGGAGCAGTGCATCCCCCTCTGGGGGATGAATCCCTCCCTGTCGCTGCCCTCTGTTGTTCGGCTTTGGGTCATCACTCGGCTCTCTGACAGGCTGTTCGGGACACTCCAGGGACCGCCAGCACGCTCTCGACGAGGCGCAGCTACTGGAGACCATCCCAAGGCTGCACAACCTTCGAGAGCCGACGAACACGTGCGAAAGCCTCGAACCCACCCGGGCGCTCACTGACATGGGCTTAGGTTCCGTGGATCTGGCGCGGACCGAGACATGGCGCCAGTGCCGGCTGGTTTGGTGACGGAGCGCGCTGACGTCGCCAATCCACGCGCCTCAATCCATGTTCACGCTTCCTCGATCGATGATCCCCCCTGGGCCAGTCACCCCCCTTCGGTAACAACTCATGGGAGCTTCCCGTGCCATTTTGCGGGCTCTTGCGAGTCGATGCTAACCGACGCTGCTCATCGACGCTTGTCGATGCTAACCGCCGCTACTCGACGCTAATTCAACGCCAATCTAAGCTAAATCGGCGCTATCCCACCGATTACCAGACGCTTATCGATCCGAGTGCACTCTGAGGAAGGAGATACGAGTGTACACAAGGCTCCCATGATTTGCTATCCAACCCCCCTGTCGCTGCCCCTGACCTTCACCAGCGACGCAAGCCCCTCCTGCATCATGCTCAGGGCGTCCGCCTCCGTGCCGTCCACCTTTCGCTTGAGGCTCCTCTCCTGCCAGAGGGCGCCCACGAGTACACCGGCACTGGCCATAAGCCAAGCACACCCTGGGTCCGGGCAGGATCGGTGTGTATCCGCCACCGCGCTTGCAGCGGTTGGTGTGCGTCGAGCTCTGTCGCCTTTTGCTGATTCATGATCCGGGACCCCCGACGCATCGAGCCCAAGATGCGTTCGTTTTGTTGGCCAAGTCCATGCCTTTCTGGCGGTCCAGGCAGCAAATGGTCCCACGTACTGAGCTTGCGGAAGGGGAGGTCCGTGGACCCTCCCGCTCCCCACCCTCAAGGCGCCCCCCTGCCTCCCCCTCTTGTTGAAAGTGATGGTGGAAACATGGACCTCTACTTGCAACCTGATGCATTTTCGTCCACTCCGCCTGCCAGACTCGCGTCCTGCAATGTGTAGGCGTCCATGGACCCTCCCCCCTCCTCCCCACCCCAAGGCGCCCCCCCCCCGCCCTGCCCGCCCGAGTGCGGTGGCGGAATCGCGCGGCAGCGCAACTGGATAAGACGAAGCCAGATCGGACGCACTGACCCGGGTCAATGCAAAAATCTTGCGCGCGAGTTGAATCAATGCAACCCTGGCTTTGCAGGATCCTGCAAGATCTGGCTCTCTGGGTGACATCCGTTTGCATTAACCCCCGTCTCAATGCTCCCAACCAGAACAGAAACCAAAAGGGGCCATGACAAATCGAGGATCCCCGAAATCCAGCGGATCTGGAGGCTGGCAGCGGGCGCCGCGGCCGTTCCAAAGCGCTCGGGACCGCTCTGAGAGCGTTCCGAGCGTTCTGGAGCGATTTGCCCTCGACTGGGGTGCAAGCTGACATGAGTTACGAATCCGTATTGGGGGAAGGTTCGGCTGCGCCAGGATGCACAACATCACCATGCAAGCATCGGGCCGCATCGGATCGTCGACATCCACCACAGTGCCTCCTGGCACTTCGAGGCGTGGTAGAATGCCAAGTGCTGTCGCTTTCCTCTAAAAACCACCTCCACCCGCAGACAGGAACATGTACCGCTCCATCTCCCCGAAGCTCCGATCCCTGATTGAAGAATATATTAATGGATCCGCGCTCCCGAGGCCCCGATCCCTCGTAAACAACCATGTGTCCGCACTCGCGAGCTTCCAAGATGGCCGAAGCAGGCAACCAAGGCCGCCAAGATGGCCCCCGATGCCTCGAAAACTCCCGAAGATGGCCCCAACGGCGGCAAAGGATGGCCTCAAGACGGCCCAAGATGGCTCCAAGAGCGCCCAAGAGGGCCACGGAAGACCCCCAACATGGTCCAACTAATACCAAAATCAAAAACCCAAGAAGCATCCAAGATGGCCCCAAGAGGGTTCCAAGACGGCCCGAGAGAACCCTGCGATGGCCCAAAAGGCTTCCACGACGGCCCCAAGACGGCCCAAGAGGGCCCCCTCCGGAGCGACCCGATACGGGCGTAAAGGCCCCTCGACCCTCGGAGGCCCACGACAGCGCCAAGACGGCCCCAGGACCCCGTGCACACAGCCAAGCATGCCCGAAGGCGGCCCAAGAGAGCTCCAAGACGTACTGAGAGGACCCCAAGACGGCCTGAGAGGGCCCCAAGACGACCCCAAGGGACCCCGGGACTGCCCCATGGGAGACCAAGACAGCTCTAAGACGGCCCAAATGAGCTCCATGAGAGCTCCTCCAGAAGTGATGACGAAAGGTGTTACATGTGACGGCCTTCATCTCCTTCCTCCCCCTCCTCCTCCTCCTCCTCCTCCTCCTCCTCCTCCTCCTCCTCCTCCTCCTCCTCATCATCACCTTCATCATCCGCATCGTCCCCATCACGGCTCCTCCAAACTGGGGACACGAGGTGTCACATGTGACGGCCACCCCTGCGTGCTGGGCCGTCATGCTGACGGGACTTGCCGCAGGCAGCTGGATGTCGGAATCGAATCGGATCGGGCCAGCCGATACCAATATCGAACCAGATCGATCGGATCGCAATGGCCCCTACAAGTTGCCCAGTGGTTTTCGGATCATGACTCGGGCCTCTGGCGGCCGCTCGGGACGATCCGAGCACCACCAGAAAGCTCTCGACGAGGCGCAGCTCCTGGAAAGCACCTCGAGGCGAGATAGCCTCCAAGAACCAACGAAACATTTCGTCCACCCCTGAGATCCAACATTGCGAAAAAATGCAGCATCGCGAAAAACACGACCAGAACCCTAGAACCCATCTTTCTGTGGCATTTCCCGAGCCAAATCGATCTGCGATGGCCCCAGGTCCCAGCTCCGGGAGAAAAAGTAAGGGGGTGAACAAATAGCAACGCCCGGATCTCAAGCCCCCCCGCCCTGACTCCGGATCCGCCGCACTTTGGTAGATCTTCTAATCTATCAATACGTGTCGGAAATGCATCGCAAGCGATGGGAACATCCGCCTCAGAAAGAAAATATGGCGGAGATTTCCGCAAAAGTATTACGGAAATGGCGACGGCAAAGTAGAGCGAAAATGGACATCAAAGGAGCTTGAACAGTAGGGCGGAAACTTTCGCCCTGCTTGCGAACCCGCCCAAAGCACGGCGGGTCTGGAGTCAGGACGGTCGAGATTGGATCGGTGCAGGTGTGCAGTTGTTGGAGAACACGCAATGACATAAGAATATCGGAGGTCAGCGCAGATTTTTTGTGTCAGCGCTGGGTCCCATGATCCCCGCGGACCTCTGAAGGTTTATGTCTATGTCTCTGGTTGTTCCACGAAGCTGGCGCCCTCTGACACTAGGGCTTGCTCTTCTGCTGGGACGGCGGACGAGGATAACCAGTGCAAACCCAAGACTCATCAACGATATCGCAGTTAAAAAGACGCACTCCCTCCAAGCTCCCTCTTCATATGCCCCTACAAAGATCCATTTTCACTGAAGGAAGTGCCGCGAATCACCGTTGCTGCTGCGTCTCGACGATCCTGAATCGCGCAAGAACGCCATCTCTGGGACTTTAACACCACGAATCAACATGATTGATTGTTGCGCCCTGACAGTCCGACATCGTCCCCAAACACTATTTCTGGAACGCTCGCCATGAACATCCTTGAGGCAGCTGCAAACTCTTGAAACGAATGTGCGCGACGCTAAGGCCAGAACAACATTTTGAAACAGAGCCGCCCTCCATCCGCGAAGCTCTTGCAATTTTTGTTTAACGAGTATGCGCGGCGCCAATGCGAGAACCACGTTTTGACAACGACCCGCCCTCCATCCGCGAAGCTCTTGCAGTTTGTAATGACGAATGTGCGCTGCGCTAAGGCGAGAGCCACATTTTGAAAACGGCCCGCCTTCCAACCGCGAAGCTCTTGCAATGTTTTACAACGGATGCGCGCGGCGCTGAGGCGAGAGCCACATGTTGAAAACGGCCCGCCCTCCATCCGTGAAGCTATTGCAGAATTAAAGGTTCAGGACCATAACTGGTAAAGAGGTCTCAGGCGAACCGCCTGGCCCGCCCTTCCGACTGGTCTTGGGAAGCGACAGGGAGAGCGTATTCATCGCAAGGAGAAGGAACGGAAGAGGAGGAAGAGGAAGAGGAGGAGGAGGAGGAGGAGGAGGAGGAGGAGGAGGAGGAGGAAGAGGAGGAGGAGGAGGAGGAGGAGGAGGAGGAGGAGGAGGAGGAGGAGGAGGAGGAGGAGGAGGAGGAGGAGGAGGGGGGGGACAGGGGAGGAAAGGGAGGGAGGGGGAGGCGGAGGCATAAGGAGGCGGAAGAGGAGGAGGGGAAGACGGGGGGCGGAGAAGGAGGCGAAGGAAGAGAGGGAGGGGAGGAGGAGACAGACGAGGAGGAGGAGGAGGAGAAGGAGGAAGAGGAGGAGGAGGAGGAGGAGGAAGGGGAGCTGGGGGAGGGGGCGAAAGTTGGATTGTCATGGTTTGTTGCCCGAAGCTGGCGCCTTCTGATCATGGGGCTTGCTCTTCTCCTGGGACGGCGGAGGAAGAGGAGGGGGAGGAGAAGGAGGAGCAGGAGGAGGAGGAAGAGAAGAGTATGAGGACGAGGAAGAAGAAGAGGAAACGGCAGAGGAAGAGGATGAGGTGGATGATGAGGAGGATTCCAGCAGAGGATTCTACAACAGTGAACCTACCGCGAGAGGAACCCGTGCAGCCCTAGGACAGAGCCACAGCCGAGCCTAGCGCCGCATGCGCTCCCATGTCAATGCTGAAGACGAGGAGGGCCCTCGACCTCTGGCCCCGCCTCCCGCCCTTGCCGAAGAGCAGCGCGACGACGTGCGAGGCTTGCCCAAAGCTGCTCGGCCGTCTCGTCGGTGCACATCCCCTCATGTTTCTTCAACCGTGGCCTCTGTGAACTTGTAGGCACACCCTGCCAGGAGGATCGCCTCCAAGGCCGCGTCGCGGCGCACCTCTGCCACCTCCAGCTTGTGTTGGAGCGCCAGGCTCTCATGGGTCCATTCACACGCGGTGCCGAGAAAAGGTGCACTTCTTCCCCCACGTCCACGCCGCACTGCCCCTGCGGCATCTCCTCCTCCTCTTCCTCCTCCTCCTCCTCCTCCTCCTCCTCCTCCTCCTCCTCCTGACCCTGCGACATCTCCTCCTCCTCCTCCTCGTCCTCCTGCTCCTCCTCCTGCTCCTCCTCCTCCTCCCCCTCCTCATTCTCCTCCTCCTCCTCCTCCACGTCCACCTTGGACATGTCCCTGCGTATCTCGGTGTCGTTCTGGGCCCCCCAATGTTGAGCCGACTGTTTTCCAAGACCATCTCGTCCAAAGCCTTCTCCTCCAGTTTCTCCTCGCGCAACTCCTTCTTCACGCTGGAACCGCTCTCCGAAAGTCCCCCCGATGTCGTTTCCGCGCACGACCGCGCCGCTGGCCCCGCTGCCGTTTATGCTTCTCCTTGGTCTCCAAACGCAGCACGTCAGCGCCTTCGCCGAGCCCCACGTGGGCCGCGAAGTTGCGCTCAAACCGCACGCTGCCTGGTACTGCCTCGCCAGCCGCCTGGAGGGACAGCGCCTGCTCGATGGCCGCCATCATCCGCGCAGCGAGCTCGACCTGTCCCGCGCCGTCGGGCTTTTCGCCGTCCTGCGGAGCCGTCTCGAAGATCAGCGCCGCGCCAGTGCGCAAGACGGCGGCGACAACGGCGGCGAGACCGCCGCCTCCCTCAGTCGTGCCTGCCGCGGCCGCTTTCACAAGCGGCGCCAATGCCACCAAGAGCTGGCAGCGCACCGTGACCATTGCTTTCGCCTCCATCGCAAGAGGCCGCGCACAGGGAAAGAGACTGAGCCGCTTTCTGTGCCTGCCGAGAAGACAAGACTTATTAGCAGGGAGAGCCACGCGCGCTCCGCCCGTCTGGCGCCCAAGGAATGCTTGAGCCAAAACGGCTACGGAAGAGGAGGATGAGGAGGAGGAGGAGGAGGAGGAGGGTGAGGGTGAGGCGGATGAGGAGGAGGAGGGGGAGGAGGAGGAGGAGGAGGAAGAGGAGGAGGAGGAGGAGGAGGAGGAGGAGGAGGAGAAAGAGGAGGAGGAGGAAGAGGAGGAGGAGGAGCAGGAGGAGGAGGAGGAGGACAGGGAGGAGCACGGGGGAGGAGGAAGGCGGATGGGGGAGGAGGGAGAGGGGGAGGGGGAGGGGGAGGGGGAGGAGGAGGAGGAGGAGGAGCAGCAGCAGGAGGAGGAGGAGAATCTGACATCTGAGAAAGCATACATGAGAGACTGTCTTGAGCTCGCGTGCGAGGCTGACTTGCACACGATACCGCGGACCTCGACTGTACAGCGCGAGGTGGGACACAGATGGTGTACAAAGGATGTGCCCGAGGTCTGCATGTCTTTGTCTAAACAGAAGTGTGTGTGTGTGTATGTGTGTGCGTTGGTCCTTGGACGATTGCACGCTTCGAAGGAGCCGAACGAGACTTGGCCGACCTTGCTGAACACCTTGAGGGAGGAGATGGAGGAGAAAGTATTGGAGTTGTGCGGAATCCAGCATAACCATGTTAGTGATGAAGGCAGGATCGTACATTGGCAATACTCTTTGTCTGCGGTGTCTGCGAAGTCTTTAATAGATGGGTGGGGGAAGGGTTTCGTGTGCAGTAAAGTGGGGGAAGTGTGTGAAGAGCTTGGGGGTGGATGTGGGTTCAGGAAGCCATTAAGCCCGTTCTCTGCGCTGTGACAGTCTCTGCTCCCCCTTTGTGTGCTGTTTGTCCTCGTGTCCTCGTGTTGGGCTTGGCCCCTGGTGTCTAACTGCACGTGCCCTGCAGCAGCTCCGCATGGAGCGCTCCCATGCTTTTCCTTTGCCTTGGCTCCCCACCCCTGGAGAAGCTTCGATCTGAACCGGCCGATAGCTCCGTCCGGCCAGCCGAGGAGGAGCCGTCTCAAGCCGTTTCGGGCGGCCACTTCGTGGCTGACCGCCGCGGCAGCGCGTCCCTCGCGCGCGCGGCGGGGCGGGCGCTCTTCCCGTGGCGCGCGGCTCCCCGCACTCTGGCCGCTCCCCTTGGCGCGCCCGCATTCTTACTGGGCTCTCCGGGGCGTGTGGTTCTCGGCGGGCGTCCAGCGGGCGTGGGCCTTCGCCCCTCCTCTTGTGGTCACGTTCCGCCAGGCCCGTACAACCACCCGGCGAGCTTCGGGACATCGACGGCGCTCGTCCTGCCGCGCCCGAACCTCTTCGCCAGCCATTTCTAGTGGCGGGATACGGCGCCTTCCGCACTGTAGCTGCTGGCGCTTGGCTTCACCTTCGCCGCCTCCTTCCTCGGCTGTCGTGCGTTTTCGCACGCGGTGCTCAAAGGTCCAGCGGGCTTCGGCGCCCCCCACAGCCACGCGATGGCGATGGCCCGCCGCGCGGCCCACATCGCCTTGCTCGTCTCGTCTGAGGTGGTCGCCCTCACTCCTGGGGGCCCCTGCCCGCCGGTCTCGCACGCTCCAACACTGTAGCTGATGAAGTTTGGTTTGCCCTTTTCCCCACAGAGCCTTCTCGCAGGCCGTGCTGGCACTAATCCTCGCGTTGTAGCTGGCTTCGCTAGGCTCTCGCTTCGACTCCGCCTCTGCCTTCTCGCAGTCCCCGCCCGCGCAGACGTCCGCGTTGTAGCTGATGGTGTGTGGCTCGCGTTTCGCCTCACCCGAAGCATCCCCCTCGCAGTTCGGAGCTGCCATGGTTTCCACGTTGGGGCCCCACGTGCTGGGCTCTGCACTGTAGCTGGCGTCGTTGGGCTCTATCTTCGCCGCCGTCGACTCCGCCTTTGCGCATGTCCAGTCCGTGCCGTTGCCCACGATGTGTCTGATGGCGTCGGGGCCTCTTCGCCTCTCCCGAGGCGTCGTTCTCCCTGGCCTGGGTAGTATCTAATGCATTCGGACTCCATCTTCACCTCCGCTGCGTCTTCCGGAAGCTGCTGCCCGCCTCTCTCTCTCTCTCTCGCGTTCGCTTCCCTCTTTTCGCAAATTGCCTTGATCTCGGCACTGTAGCTGGTGGTGTCGGGTTTTGCCTTCACGTGTGAATCCAATTGTGCCCGCGGCTCCTCGCCAGGCGTCTGTGTCGATGGCTCGGGCTCCACCTTTGCCTCCAGCTTCTCGCAAGCCGCGGGGCCGACGCTGGATATGCTGCCCTGATCCCAGCGTCGGAGCTGACGGCATTGGGCTCGTCCGTCGTCGTGTCCCGCCAGCTGCCGCAACCCGCCTTCCTTGCACGCCGCGAGGCCGACGTTGGGTGTGATGACCTGATCCCAGTGCCGTAGCTGATGACATTGGGCTCGTTTGTGCTCACGGCGGCTGCTCGCCGCCCCCGCGTCGTAGCTGACGACGTTGAGCTCGTCCTTCGCCTTCTCACTGCTCTGGTCGTCTTGAGGCTGCCACTGCCCGCCTTTTTTGTGTTTTCTTTCTGTATTTATTTATTTCTCTCTCTCTCTCTCTCTCTCCCTCTCGTACAGGCTGGTCTCGCGCTGCCACTGCCATCCCTCGTCGCACGCATGCTCCTGAAGCAACTGCACGATGTGCATGAGGGGTTTGTACAGCCAGCCGAAATCCACTTGCGTCAGGTGCTCGGGTCCAGAAGGCTACGCGAAATGGACCACGGCCTGCAGCCACCGACCGACCGAGGAGGCCGAGGAGGAGGAGGAGAAGGAGGAGGAGGAGGAGGAGGAGGAGGAGGAGGGAAAAGGAAGGAGGCAGGGAAAGGCGGGGAGGAAGCGAAGGTTGGGTTGTCATTGTTTGTTCCCTGGGGCTGGCGCCCTCCGATCCCGGGGTTTGCTCTTCTGCTGGGGCGGCGGGGGAGGAAGAGGACGAGGACCAGTGCAAACCCAATACTCATCAACGATGTTGGGATAAACCCTCCCTCCAAGCTCCCTCTTCACAGGCCCCTACATGTATTCATTTCCACTGAAGGAAATGTCCCGTTGGGGGACAGCCATTTGAAGATCTTGAGACGTGTCAAAACACCATCATCGGGATGCCAACGCCAACCAGACTGATGCGCCTTGACGGTCCTGAATCGCGCCAGAACGCAATTCTTGGGATTTCGACACCGCAACTCAATGTAACTGCTGACACTCCAGAATCGTTCCAGAACCCCATGTCTGACACTCAATCATGGGACCCCATGGATTTGTTGCAATTTTGTTAACAGAATGTGCGCGGCGCTAAGGCCATAACCGTGTGTTGAAAAGGAGCGGCCGTCAAGCTGTGAAAACCCTGTATTTCTGGAACAACGAATGCACGCGGCGCTATGGCGAGAGCCGTGGTTTGAAAACCAACCGCCCTCAGTCCGTGAAGCCCTTGTGTGTTCAAAACGGTGTGCGCGGCGTTGAGGCGAGAACCACATGTTGGAAGCGACCCGCCCTCCATATGCGAAACTGTTGCCAACGTTTAAGCGCCAGGCTCTAAGAAAATCTCCAGCGAAACGCCCGGCCCACCCTTCCGACCGGCCTCGAGGTGCGACAGTGAGGAACTATAATTATACAATGATGAAATAAAAGAAGGGAAGAGAAGGAGGAGGACGACGAAGAGGACGAGGAGGACGAAGAGGAGGAGGACGAGGAGGACGAGGAGGAGGAGGAGGAGGCGGACGAGGAAGGGAGGAGAAGCGAGCGGATCCAGGGACGACCGACGACGGCGGGACGACAGATCCCAGTCCAGGCAACGGTGGCACATGCACGATGGAGGCGGCAACGGCTGGGCGGCAGCCTCCTGGGAAGGCGGCTGGCCGCGTCAAACTTGACAGAAACGGGCCTCCTCGCCGAGCTGCCCATCGCAGCCGAGCCCGAGCCAGGCCAGGTAGCTCTGGGACAAAGCGCAGGGCAAGGAGGGACAGAAGGCCGAGAGGGGAAAGCAAGATATCGGTGCTCGGCGGAGCACCTGCGAAACACCTGTGGAAGATGGGTGAGGGCATCCAAAACCTCTTCCAGCACAGGACACTTTATATTGAGCAGCACGTCGTCCCCGCCCCACCCACGGCGAATTTGAACCGCTGAAAAAAAGGCCTCGGTGGATTCTCGAAACATTCTTGAAGTACACCAGCGAATGCAAATCATGCGGAAAGACAAGAAAAGCATCCGAGCAGGAGCATGCTGACCAAGTCCTCGGATAACCATTTTACAAACATCAGCTTGGGGCTCCGAGGAGGGTGGCGTGCAGAATGCCTCGTCCTTGTTGCTAAAAAGTGCCGCGGACATCCACGCCTTGCAGGGCCTGCACAAGACGACCGATCTTGCTCCGCAGCGGGGGGGGGCGAGGGGGGCCGAGGGGGCCTCGACGCATAATTTTAGTTATCGATCAGGCTGATGACGGATGAGGATTAGATCAGCAGGCGCCTTCTCCAGAGGATGTCACACTCGTCACTTCCAGCAACGTCCCTCGAGCACTTGGAAGACTAGAGCGACCGAGGACAAGCGGCGCGCGAGTCTGAAAATGGCAGCGCGGCACATGCACTCTGGGTCTATGTCTGGTGTCTTACCTCCGAGGCTGGCCAAGCCCTGAAAGGAGAAGCGTCGATGGCGTTCCTGGGCGCTTTCGCGAAGGCCCGATCAGCTTCCCGCTGCCCCCCCGGGGCAAACTTGCCGGGCAAGAAACTGACCAACGACTGACAGGCGCGAGGAGCTGAACACATTGAACCTGCCCGTGCTTTTGTGGATCTTCACGAGAGGCTCTGGGCGCCCCTGGTCCTCCCTTCCATCTTCCAAGCGGGGCCCTTCCAGCAGAGTCAGCTGGCCCCCCGCCCGATTAGCTGTTGCAAACAAGAAGTTACGCGCCTGGACACCTTGGCCCCGAAGTCCGGCTGGGAATTCCCCCAGTGCTGGCTCGGACAATTGAACGGCCACTGCCATCTCGACGCGGGGGCAGAGCCCCGCAACGCGGGCGGCGACGACCCGCGCTCCAAGAGCAACGTTGACCGCGCGGTGAACATTGCGAGCGGCAAGGCCGACATCGCTGGCAGACGCAGAGATGCTGGCCGAGGAAGATGGGGCCCTGGGACGCGTCGCGCGGACGGCCGGGCCAACGGCGAAGCTGAAAAAAGGACCCCGAAAGCGGGCGCCCCTGTTTCATGCACCTCTCTTGCCAGAAGTAGCGCCCGCGGGCCCCCGGGCGGAAAAGCGAGCGTGACCCCCCCTCAATGTCTGGCGAGTTCTGCCCCGATGTCGCAGAGGTCGCGGAGCTTCACGCCCGCGGGGTCGACCGCGCGAGTCAGGGATACGTTATGCTGGACCGTCCCCAAGCGAAGGTGCAGGTCTCCAGGCGGGCCACCAGGGTGGCTTTCATCATGGCCGCATGGGCGGCCCCCCACCTCTCTCTATCTTTCCCCAATCCTCTGGAGGGAAGGCGCACGTCGATGCCCATGAAAACGATGTCCCCGTTCCCAATCAAGTCCGTCGGCGAGCGCGCGTCGCGCCAGCTGGGAGCAGCAACGAACGGCTCGGCATGCTTGCTCGGCATGCCCGTGAAAGAGCGCGCGCGCGTTAAACTCAGATCCCATGAGATCCTCTCGTCGGTGCTCTGCGCGGGGCCGAGTGCAGGGCGTTGCAAAACGCGCCAGACCGCTATTCAAAATTTGCATTCAGCATCCTGGAGATCACTCTCGAGGTCCATCTAAGGGGGCCCCATCCCGCCGATGCCCCCGTTGACCACTTCGGCAAGCCAAATGCGTTGGGCGACCTGCGAGGGCGCCTCAGAAGCCCCGTTGGGCCCAAACGGGGCCGACGCCGCACGGACTGGCGCGCGGTCGGACGGGTTCCCTGGTTTGTCGGGGGCGCCGAGGACGAAGCTGCTCATGCTGAGATCCATGGCCGCGGCGGGGTAGGAGTTCGTTCGCATCCAGTCGACCCCCCACCAAGACGGACTCCATTCTGGGCCACTGCAGAAGCCCGCGAAAATTCGGGCTGGCCAATCCCCAGAAACTCGGGAAATCAGCTTGCAAGACTCGCTGGCCATCACATTCTGAAGCGCAAGTGCTCGCCCATCGCTGAGAGCTCGACTCCCGCCGAGGCTCGAGAAGTTCCAGTCGCCGAGCACTAGCGATAAAGTGACCGAGTGTGGCAGTAGCACTCTGCGAATACACGGAGGAACTCTGGATTATTCACGCCCGAGCCCACAGCGAGGGATGCTAAAATTCGCTGCTTGGAACGGGCCATTTCAATCGGTGCACTCGCAGACTCAAAGAACCGGCTAGAGTTCGACGCAGCCGCCGAAAACTTGGACGACATGCGAAACGGACGCGAACTGGCGAAAAGACTGCCAACAACGGAACTGCAGCCAGACGAGCTGCAGGCAGAGGAGGAGCGAGCCGAAGGCAAGAAACACGGAAAAGAAGAGCTCCACGAGGGCGCGCGGCCAAGCGAGTAGGCGCGGCGCGAACCCCTCGCGCCGCCCCTGGTTGCGGGCCCCGTTCTGACAGGCCGGCTGCGGGCGCGAGCCCCATCAGCGCACTGCTGCCTGCTTGTCAGTCTGAGCCGAGAAGGGATAGAGGTGGCGGTGCCCGCATCATGTGTAGCAGTCTCTGACTGCGAACGCGTTTTCTATTGCAGGGCCCACTCGTTGGCCCTCGCCTCCGAGATGATGAAGTGCTTGTGGGTTTCTATCTCTGGCGCGTCGTCGAACTGCCCGTTGGGGCCTGCACGCGAAGCGAACAAGAACCATGCCTCGTCGCCCCGCAGCAGGATCAATACGCCTTGGCGCGAGTCGCTGCCGATCCTCACGACTGGGTCATCGAGGAGGTCTTCCCTACTTATGTGCTTTACCAGCTGCTACCGGATCATTCAGCAGTACCTGTTACTTTTGCGAATGTCCCCATTCGCGTCCAACCTGGCTTTGAGCGTGCGCCTCTTGCCTTTCCTGTCCGTTCAAGCGAGGTCTGCAGCCCCAACCCAGTCGAGGAACGTGCGCGCGTGGAGGTGGCTGCCAAACTTGATAGAATAGCTCCTGTTGAGGTTGTACCACTTCGCCCATGAATGCATGGCCATGTCTGGTGGCGCTGCCAGAACTACTGCCCGAGCACGGGTGTGCATGACCGAAGCGAACATCTGATGCGGGAAGCCGCCGATGCAGACCTTCGTGGGGTCCGAGTCCTGCCTCCACAGCGCGGGTTCGAGACCCGCCTGGCTGGACGCAGCGCTGCATGCACTCAACGGTGGCTTGGGTGCGCGGGTCGGTGCCTGCGACCCCAAGGCCTTCAACTTCTCGTCCAACTTGGCCTCCGGCCTGGCGTCCAGCCTCTCGGAGAGGCCGCCTGTTCTATTGAGCGAGTGGCATGTTGTGTCTTCGTGTCTTGGGATCCGAGCCTCGTTGATATCCTGACTGTTCGACGAACGAAAAACTTCACGACCCTCATAAATTTGCTAATTCGTGTCGTCCCCCATCTTATACAAAAAGCCCATGAGGTCGGAAGTGGAAAGGGCGGCGGCATGTTCTCATTTAAGCAGAATGAGTTAGCCTGGAACCGTGCCCCCAGATGCCACGTCGAAGTGCTGCGGGGTACCAGCTGGGCCGCTTGCGGACGCGGCCTCACCAGGCTTGTCCTTGACATACCCCGTATTCATCGAACAAATTCGAACAACATTCGGAACCCGTGACGTCGGCCTGCTGGGTGTCGAAAGGGCCATCATCGTCGGAAACGGCTTGAGACTTCGCTGCAGGAAGACCACCAGCAGCAACACCTCTCTTTTTGCTGCCATTTGCAGTCACCCATGGGCCCTCAGCTTCCAGAGGGGGTCCTTCGCGAAGCTTCCCTTCTTGCCCTTGCCTTGGTGGGGCTGCGTGGCGAGCTCCCCCTGATCGCCTTCGAAAAGAAACTGAACGGGCCGAACACCTCCCTTGTATTTTCCTTTCCTTGGACTCGCTTCACTCTTGGGGGCTGAATTCCCTGGGCTCATCGCGGGAGGAACTGGCGTGTTCCTTGGCATGGCAAGAAAGAAAACCATTGTGGGGGTCGAAGCGTGTCGGGAATAACCGTGGTCTAGCCTCGGAGCAGAGGTATCCTCGCAGTCCCACAGGAACCAGGGGTCTTGGGCCAAATTGCTACGGAAGGAAGGGAGAGGGAGAAGGAGGAGGAGGAGGAGGAGGAGAAGGAGGAGGAGGAAGAGGAAGAGGAGGAGGAGGAGGAGGAGGAGGAGGAAAAGGAAAAGGAAAACGAGGAGGAGGAGGAAGAGGGGGAGGAGGGGGAGGAAGCTGGCACCCTCCGATCCTGGGGTTTGCTCTTCTGCTGGGATGTCTGTGCCGCGCCGGCCCTCCTCAGCGAGACGCCGAGCGGTCCACCCCAAAGGCGCGTGAGCTTCGCCTTGGCGCCCCCCGGCCGTTTCCCCTTCTGGCCGCTCGTCGGGGTGAGCGCGGCCTCACGACGACGACGACGACGACGACGACGACGACGACGACGACGACGACGACGACGACGGCGACGGCGACGGCGACGACGACGGCGACGACGACGACGACGACGACGACGACGACGACGACGACGACCACGACGACCACGACGACGACGACGACGACGACGACCACGACCACGACGACGACGACGACGACGACGACGACGACGACGACGACGACGACGACGACGACGACGAGGAAGAGGAACAAAACACAGCATGAACGTAAACATTCGGAGGTCCGCGCGGATTTCTCCGATCGGAGCTGGGCCCCCCAGGCGGCGCCTCTGGCGCCTCACCTGGCGCGCCCCGCGCGCCAGGGAGGGGGGGGGGGGGTCCAGCGCCGCTCCGAGAAATCCGCGTGGAGCTCCAACAATTTATGGTTATGCCGTGATCTTTTCCCCGACCACGAGCGGCAGCGGCTGCCGCCCGTCTTGGCCCTCGGCCCAAGGAGGCTAAAAGGGGTGGGGGGGGTCGGGTGTTGGCAACCCTTGCCAGGCCTCCGGGGGCTTCTCAAGGAAGCCTCTGGGGACCGTCCGGGTGGACAGTTCCAAATTCGGGCGGGTGCCAGGATCTGCGGCGGGAGCAGAACTGAGCAGCAACGCCAGGGTGGGCGGCCTCTGGGGGGGGGGGGAACGTCGACCCGGAGTCGGCGGTGCGTACATCGCCGACAGATTGGCGATAGGCCTCCGATAGCGAAGCCGCGCGTTACAGGGCGGGGTGGCAGGCCCCTGCAGGCCCTCCCCCCCCTGAGCCTACCCTCCCCCCCCTCCTTGCGTTGCCCCTGGTGGCCTTGTGGCCCGGCTTCGGGCTCTTGTCGGGCGACACGGGCGGCGCCACCTCCGGCCTGTCGGCCGCCCTGATCACCTCGGGTGCGCCGAAGAGGGCCAGGGAGAGGGGGAGTGGTGCGCGTCGTGGCCCGAGACATGTGCGCGGACGAGGGAAGGCCAGGGGACGCGTTGGACGAAAAGGAGGGACATGACATCGGGGAGGTGTCACGGCCCTGGCCGGGATACCCCCAGTCCTCCACCCCTCTTTTTCGACCAGCCACGAGAACTAGGCACCCTTCAGCAAGCTTCTCACATCTCACCCATTAACTCTCACTATTGCGAATCCAACCGCGCTGCCACTAAAATGCAGGCACGAGAGGGAAGAGGAAGGAGGAGAAGGGGATAGAAAGCACGGGCCCATAGATACGAGTTCCCACCAACGACGTACCAGCCAGATCGGACCAATGCCACGGTCAAAAATCTATGCCTCACTCCTCTTCGACGCCTAATGGCTTTCGGGATAACTCGGGCCGTTCGAGACGATCCGGGCACTCTCCGAAAGCTCTCGACGAGGCGCAGCAGCGGAAAAGCACCCCGAGGCGGGAGAACCCCTCGGAGTCAACGAAAACTTCTCCCTCCCAGGCTCCTTGCGCCGCGTTCAAAACCCAATCCGCCACCCTGCTTGCACGGAGTGGGCGTGTTAGAACGCTTATTGCCGCCTTGGAGGTTCTTAAATTCTTTCTAGGGCCACACCCCCTCCCGGCACGCGCGGGGTCTGCAGACCCCCCCCCCGTGAACTTGTTCTTCAGCTGTCCTTTCGGCCTCAAAACGTGCAAGATGGCCTCCAAGACGGCTTCCAAAGCAGTCAAGATGACACCAAGACGGCCCAAGATGGCCCAAGACGGCTCAAGAGGCTCCCAAGACGGCCTCAAGACAACTCAAGAGGCTCCCAAGACGGCCTAAAAGAGCTCCAAGAGGCCCCCCAGGAGAACCAGAGGAAGCAAACAACATGGATGTCCTTAGGTTTTTGAGAAATACTGAGGTTCTCGTCTGTTTGGGCTTCCGACCGCCCAAGACGGCCCAAGAGACCTCCAAGATAGCTCCAAGACAGCGTAGGAGGCCCGCAAGCAGGCCCCAAGTCGGCCCAAGAGTCTGACGCCAAGATCGCCTAAGCCTAAGAGGCCCCCAAGAGGGCCCCAGGACGGCCCTAAAGCGCTCCACGAGGGCACCAAGACGGCCTCGGCGTCAGACGGGCCAATCGCCTTCCTAAGACAGCCCAAGAGGCCCCGGAAGGTCCTCAAGAGGCCCCCAAGAGGCCGTCTGGAAAGCTCCCAGGAGGCCCCAAGAGGGCCCCTCGTCCTCATATTCTCCTCCTCCTCCTCCTCCTCCTCTTCTTCTTCCTCCTCCTCCTCCTCCTCCTCCAACTCATCCTTCTTCTCCTCCTCCTCCTCCTCCTCCTCCTCCTCCTCCTCCTCCTCCTCCTCCTCCTCCCCCTACCCCTCCCGGACGAAGACGATGTCGGGATCACGACCCTCCCCCCAGTTCAGACCGCGGGGTGTGAACTCAACCTCCTTCCTACCGCAGACGAGGTCGGGTTCACGACCCGTCCGTATCATACCACTTGTCGAAATTGCGTTGTTCCCACACTCCGCATCCTTTCTGCAGCGCTGTTGCGCAGGCATGATGTCGAGGTTTGCGGCAGGCAGCTGGTATACCTCGATGTCAGCGATGCATCGGCGACGTCAGCGCGGAGAAGACCGGGCTCCACATCGAGACGCATCGCCGATACATCGGCAATGCGGCGCGGTCATCCTACCCCGTCGCTAGAGGTGCCCCTGGCCCACGGTGCCCCTGGCCCACGGTGCCCCTAGCTTTCCGCTGAATGTTGGAGCCCAGGGGGCCCTCTGGGCCTCGCGAGGGATGCTCTGGAGGTCGTGGGAGGCTCCTTGAAAATGCTGGGGTCACCGTGGGCCCGCCGCCGCTGCCACCGCCGCCGCCGTCGCCGTCGTCGTCGTCGTCGTCGTCGTCGTCGTCGTCGTCGTCGTCGTCCTCCGTCAACTCGGACCCCACTTGGGCGGCCTGGACCTTTGGACGCACCCGATCGCCGCCGCCGCGGCCTTCTCCTCCTCTGGGCTCGGGGGGAAGTGCCACATGCACAGCTTCGGAGGTGCAGCCTCGGGGGCGCACCAACTGGAGAACAAACAATGACATAAGCAGAACAACTCGGAGGTCCGCGCAGATTTCTCAGATCCAGCGCCGATCCGAGAAATCCGCGCGGACTTTCGAATTCGCATGGTCATGTCATTGCTCGTTCCCCGGACTAACCCGGGTCAGCCCAAACCGGGCCAGCCAGGGCCACGTCGTGAACCCAGGCCGGCCACGAAGTAGCTCCCAGACCGGGGTCAGCGAAGGGCGGAAAGCGGGAATCGGCTCACGTGGCTCCCACACGCGGGCCAGCCAGAGGGACTCGGCTGACCCGCGTTCGCGCTGCCTCCCGCTTTACGTGGGCCCCGGTACAGCCGCTGCTGCGGCAGCGCCGGCGTCGAAGAACTTCTCCAGCCGCTGCCCCTCATAGCCCCGGGGCTCGGGCAGCAGGGGCCACACCCTGGCTCGGGGGCTGCGGAACCCAGATGAGCGACAGCGCGGGCCGCCGGCGCGCCACGCCACGTGGACAGCTTACGCGCCAATGGCGGCGAAGAGGGCCCCGTTTTCTTCCGTCGCTCCGATGCCCCACGGTGCGGCTTTTTCAACAATGTGGGGCCCGCTCTCGGCCCCCCGCGGCCACCAGGAACGGATCCGGGGCGCAAACAGCTGCCCCGGGGACCTCTTGGGGCCGCGGATGGAAGGATATCGGCGGATGTCTGGGACGGCGTCCCTGGCCACGGGTGTCCCAAGCTTCTCGCTCCACTCTGAAGCCTCTGAGCCCTCTGGGCCTCGTGAGGGGTGCCCTGGAGGCTGTGGGGTGCGTCCTTCTTGGGGATCCTGGGGACACCTCGGGCCAGGGAGACTTCTGGAGGGACAGAAGACGGTGACCATGGCCAAGACTGAGCGCGGAAACGTTGGTGCCGATCTTGACCACCGTCCAGCTTGGTCACCGTCGATTCCCGGATCGTCCTCGCGAATCGGCAACGGCCGGCACGGACCACCATGACCGATGTCGGCGTCGACAAGATCCCGCGACATCGTGGTCATGGCAAGAGAACCCAGAATCGAACGATTAATCGGATCGGCGATCGAAGCGAATCGGATCGGCGGAAATCGGCAGCCGATCCGGAAGTCGAATCGGTGGAAATCGACGGGCCAGTAAGGCGTCCCCTGAGAACTCGGAATCCAGATTGGAATCCCAAGTCGAATCGAATCGGAATCGGAAGCCGTCGAAATCGAATCGGATCGGAGAAGTCGAAACGATCCCTGTCATGGTCATCGTGTTGTGTTTCTTGCCTCGGCTTCTGGCAGCGCCCGACCTGTTGAGGTCCTCGGCCGTGGGCAGGGGGAAGCCGCAATCCTTGAGGATCGCCTGCTGGTCCTCTGGGATCTGGTCGTACCCCTTCGTGGTGTAGTCCGCTGGCCCCCCCGGCCTGTTAGGGAGACCGTGGCGTGTTCTCGTCCCCTGGGCCACCTACAGCCGAAAGTATGATCCAGAAGATCATAACGTGGGGTCAGCTTCCTGTAAGCCGAATCTGAACAAATTTCTGGCTTCAACGTTGGAAGGCGAACGTGCTCAAGAAATTGGGCCAACTTTCCGGCAAGTTGGTTCAGAAACGCTGGCCCAGCCACCCATGCTCAGAGGAAAGCTTGAAGCTAAAAAACTGACTTCACCCCAAGGGGCTTCTACGAACAAAGAAGCTCCAAGAAAACGTCCAGGGTCCAGTCCAGATTCTTGAGTTTCTGCAGCTAGACGTGGAATACATGAAGGTTGATTTCCTTTTCTTGACACTTCTGATGGTGCGTAGGCTATCCGGCTTCGCGAGTCGCGCGCCACGATGCGCCACGCGCGCTCCTCTTCGCGCCGGCGCGGGGCCCCCTGGGAGAAGGGCAGCAGTCCGGCCCTGGCCGCGACGCGCGAGGCGCGGATGTCTTCGCGCCCTGCGAGGCGGGGATACATCCAACTCCACGGCCTTTGGATCTGGCGCTGTGGGACCCCGGCGGGCGGTGGGCATAGGGGCAGGTTTGGGCCCAAATGGGGGTCCGGATATATCCATAACATCCACCGCCTGTCGAAGTCTCCGAGGGTCGGTCCTCCGGGCGGCGGTCACGTATGAATCACCGCCTCGGACGCCCCCCGCGGGTCGGCCGTCTCCCCCCCACCGAGGAGTGTAGAAGACACGAGGCGTGATATTCGTCCCAAGGGATTCCCAAGATGGTCCAAGCATGGCCTCTACAGCCTGGCTGTCTGCCACGCGCACTTCGAGGCCCTAGTCGTGGTCTGGGAAGCAACCAGATCGGCTGACTTCCATTCAATGTTCCTTCCCTTCGGGGGCCTGCTGCTGCTGCTTCTCCCCCTCCGCCTCCGCCTCCTCCTTCTCGTCCTCCTCCTCCTCCTCCTCCGCCTCCTTCTCGTCCTCCTCCTCCTCCTCCTCCTCCTCCTCCTCCTCCTCCTCTTCCTTCCCCTACCTCTACCGATCCCCTTCCCCAGTCTCCTGGCAATTCCATTATCTGGGGCGTCGGCTGAACGGCGCAAGCCTTTGCGATACACCACAGAGAACCTCTCGCCCTGGAAGTCGTCCACTTCGTGGGCCCTATTGCCATCGAAGAGCACGAGATCCTTGGACAGGTCGAAGGTTGTCCTGTCTTTCGCCTGGAGGTTCTCCAAAGTGCTGCTCTTGTTGTCCTCCGGCCAGTACCCCAAATGCCCACCATTGAAACGCCCAAATGCGTGTATCATGGACGGGCCGGCGTTGTTACCGTCTCTGTGGCGCTTCGCCGCGTAGCCCGCATTCAGTGAGATGCTCGTGAAGGGAAAGTCGTGCTCGAGCTCCGCAGGTCTACGGTCCTTCAACCAGCGATTCAGCAAGCGGCACACATTGCGGTAGTCCCTCGTGGCGCGCGTGGCGGCGTAGGTGCCACAGCGAGTGTGGACCAGGCCAAGGGTGTCGCTATCCGCTACCTTGCCCCACTGCACGTTGAGGCGTGGCAGCATGCCACATACTGTCTGGTAGGGCTTCCGTACTCTTCCAGGACCGACGACGACGACGATGACAACGACGACCTCGACGACGACGACGACGACCTTTCTCGAGCGCGCCCCGTCCGCAAGCGAATTCTCACCCCAAATCCACGAGCTCCGGTCGAGAAGGGGGGAGACTCGGGGATGCACCCACAGGGGGCTGTTTGGACGCACGCCTATCGAGGGTCGACGCCCCCCCGTCAGATATCATCGAGGTTGGCCCCGAACCTCAAAAGCCCATTCTAAAAACCCACAGGTCGGGGATGGGGCTCGCCATTGCCCCAGCTGCTCAGGTGGCTTGCGCCTTTCCGAAGCCGTCTGGGCGGCGCGGCGCCTCCCCGGCACTGTTCCGAGGCGCCCAAAACGTGCCCTGGCAGGCCAGCAGCGCCGCACAGAATTGAGGCGAAGCCAAGACGAGGACAAGTCTGGGCGAGAATCAATCGAAGACTTCTGAAATCTAGCAATTCTGGAGGATGTCTCTGGTGCTGGAACCGAACCTACTCAGGCGTTTCGGAACACTCTGTGAACGTTCCGGAACGCTCTGGAACGGATTTGTCCTCGTCCTGACCCTGTCCGGAAAGGACTCAAAATGACCCCAATACAGCCGATTGTGGCCCCAACGCTGCCCCAGATAGCCTTCGGACTGCCCACGATGCTTTCTAGGACGGCCCAAAACGGTTGCAAAACGTGCTCCAGGATGGCCCCATTATAACCCATAGTCATCGATTGCCTGGAGAGATTGGCGAAGATATTCGATTTCTCGTCTGTTCATGTTCCCGCCGGCCCAGGACGCTCTCAAAAGCATCCAAAATAACCCTGGGACGGCATCGAAATCCCCCACGAGGCGCCCAAAACAACAGCAAATGAGGTTGACATCGTGAGATGTAGTAATGGTATTGAAGGATAGACGTGGAAGGCAGCTTCCTGGAATAAGACTCTTTTCCATTCTTCTCCGATGCAATAGCGGATCGATAGCTGCGCTTGCGATCCGGGCAGATAGAGCGCCAGCCGCTTGAACAACAACCAGCGGCGCGGACGCTCGCTACGCTCGCCTTGCGTCACCCAGCCCTGTAACCCACGTTCAGAATCGGGGGGACTCCAGTGTGCACACCGCCTTAAGGATCGGAGGCTATGGAGCTCACGCGTGATATAAGTAGCGGCCATGGCAAGCCGTGCCCGACTCGGCCAAGTGCCAGGGTCGAATCTTCGAAGTTAGTAAATAGCAAACTGGAAATGGCGTGCACCCACGCATACAATGCAAACATCAGCATGGGCCCACGCAGCCAAGTACAGACAGCGAGCGCAGAAGACAAGCACATAAGCGGCAAAAGAAAAGTCTCACGTCGGCGTGTCCCCACGCAAGGAACGCGTGCTCCATAGGCCCATTGAGATCAAGGCTTAGCCTTTGATGTCTGAGCCCTGTAGGGCGCATTCGTCTTCAGCTATTGCTTGAAGGATTGCGGACGCGCCAGTACTTGTAACAGTAGGTCGCGGTCGATACTCCAATGCGCATGTCCATGAACAGTCATATCCCGCGCGTCACACCCACACCGTTGTATGCTGTGCATGATATCCTTATGCGTCATCTGATTGACCCAGCTCATACGGCCCACAAGTATGCACTCAGCGGGTTTCTCAAGATCCTTGCTAGATCGGAACTTCAATGCGAAATCAGCGCTACTAGTAAAAGTAACCTTCATGCATGGACAACAAATTTCCATAACATCCCTAAGTTGCGTTGGCGTTAGCGGTCCGCCTTGAGTTCGCGCGGCGTGATAGCGGTCGGGCAGCAGTCTTCTAGATTGTGGGATGCTGCTGGCGCTTCTGCAAAATAAAAATAGCTGGACCTGAGCTGCTGTCGATGCGACTTGCAGTGGGCGTCTATCAAGTGCACGACAGGTTTGCCATCGCGTGTGTTTCCACGCCTGAGACGGTTGGCACCTCCGATGCCATGCCCTTCGGCCCCGTCTTCAACGTCTCCGGTCAACCGTCGGTAGCCGGAATCGCCGTGGAGATAAAGTTCTCTGGCGGGCTTCATGGCAAGGGATATCTTCTTCTTAGGTTATGCCTGAAGCCTGCGCGTGATCACGTTAGCCAGTCGCACCTGTAAGTTCGTCGGTTCCTGCGCCCGCTGCAGCGTGGCGACGCAGAACATCAGCCAGATTTGGGCGATAAGGGCATCGGAGAGTGCCCCGCGGAGGCTAACAAATATGTCTGCGACAGTTTTGGTCGCCTTCGCCACGGCCTCCGCGCCCGTAAGTTCTGGGTGCCAGATGGGGCGGAATTGTTTGACGTGCTCATCCTGATCCAGAGTGACGTCGCCCCTGTCGGTGTTCGTGCATCTGACAGCACAGCACGAGTGCATTTATTGAGCTTACGCGTGCCACGCGTGTGCTCAGCGCATTTCGCGTAACGGTCGATCGCCTCTTCCTGACCAATCATGTTGATATCGCCCATGCGTTTTGCCGTCAGTAGCGGTTCCGCTGTTTCTGGCTCTTCGTCGCAAGACGTCGCTCGAAGAGCAAAGCCCCGCATGGTGTTGCGCAACTTCAAGGAGAGGGCGCGCGGGGCATCCTTCGTCCCTGCGCCTGGCTTGAAGCACTAAAGGCAATGCTTGGTTTCATTGTGCTTCTCGAATCCATGTAAGGTACGAAGTGCCTGAGCAGAGCCTGGTGGTAGGGTGGAACAAACTGCGCGCTCCCGCTTCCCAATGGCTTCGGCAAGATCGCGGAGCCTTGGGCCCTTTTCACAAATCCTTGTCTATATCCATAAACGCGATAATTAAGTCAAGATGGCAAGCCTCCTTGCAGGTCAGCAGACGCTGGCTCGCTCGCAACGTTCTGTAAAGGTTTCGACGTCGAAGGCTTCCAGATCCACAAATCCTCGGAGAGCCAATCGGAGGCGAATCATATTAACCATGTCCTCTCGTTCGCCTTAACAACAAAAAAATCTTTGGTTCCGTATAAAGTGCCTTGCCTACCCTTACTGGACGAGCTTGGACCTCAGGTTTGGTTAGCAAGACATCTCCTTTCACCACTACCGCGCGTTTAGAAGCAGCATCGACACATGTTCGCATAGTGGTGATGCTATCGTCAAACAGTAAGTTATGCTGCGGTTCGGTTAAGCACAACCTTGGCCATGTTAGCCGCGAAGCACAGTTCTATGTACTGCCCACACTTGGCACTGTCGGCCGTACAGGCATTATCCGAATGCGGGATGCTGGGGACGAAATGTACATCCTCATTGTGGTAATACACGTACCCACGATGTCGGATGCCTGGGTCGTCGTTCGCGACGGTGATCATGACCGACTGGTCTGAGATTATGGTCGTCGGTATGGTGTGAAGTGCTTCAAGGGGCATAGTCTCAAGAAGCTCGCGTTCTTCGTGCAATTCCGAGCACCATGCTGCAAGGACATTCGTAACATGCTGGTGGTGTTACGTCGCTGTCGTAGTGGGCCAGACTGCAACTGTCAGCGTACGTGACAGCTGGCACTCGGTGCGTGCTCTTAGCAAGTCGGACTGTGACCACGCTCTCGATCGACAAAAAAATCCAGATCGGGTATAAAAAGGCAAAATGTACCTTTGGTGAAAGCTTGATGTCGGCCGCTATCCGTGACGGTCGTCCAGGGCACAGCAGACGTGGCGTTTTCTCGACACCACAGGGGGTGCGCACGGGGTGGTCCCTGAAGGCGGCCGTTATCCGTGACGGTCGTCTAAGGCACAGCAGGCGTGGCGTTTTCTCGACACCACAAGGGGTGCGCACGGGGTGGTCCTTGAGCGCGGCCGCTATCCGTGACGGTCGTCCACGGCACAGGAGGCGTGGCGTTTTCTCGACACCACAGGGGGTGCGCACGGGGTGGTCCCTGAGCGCGGCCGCTATCGGTGACGGTCGTCTAGGGCACAGCAGGCGTGGCGTTTTCTCGACACCACAGGGGGTGCGCACGGGGTGGTCCCTGAGCGCGGCCGCAATCCGTGACGGTCGTCCAGGGCACGGGAAGCGTGGCGTTTTCTCGACAGTACAGGGGGTGCGCACGGGGTGGTCCCCCAGCGCGACCGCTATCCGTGAAGGTCGTCCTTGCCCCAGCGGGTGTGGCATATTCTCGACACCACCGCGGGGTGCGCAGGGGGTTGTCACTGACCGCGGCCGCTATCCGTGACGGTCGTCCAGGGCACAGCAGGCGTGGCGTTTTCTGGACACCACAAGGGGTGCGCGGGGGGTGGTCCCTGAGGGCGGCCTCTATCCGTGACGGTCGTCTAGGGCACAGCAGGCGTGGCGTTTTCTTGACACCACAGAGGGGCGCGCATGGGGGTGGTCCCTGAGGGCGGCCTCTATCCGTGACGGTGGTGCTCAGGGCACATCGGTACGCAAGCTTGCTATCCGTGCCGGTCGTGCTCAGGGCACAGGAGGACGCAAGCGAGGTGAGTGGTATCATCACCAAGATTTTCTACACCATTCTCACATGCTACACTTCAGCTATCACCACTGCAGCCGCTCCAGCCATAATAATACAAGTATGTGGGGTTCCTCGGTTGCGTAATTTCAGCAAGAACGCCACAAGGATACCTTAGGTCGGTCTAACGTTCAAAAGGAGGAGGATGAGGAGGAGGAGGAAGAGGAACAGCAGGAGCAGCAGGAGGATGAGGAGACAGGGGAAAGGGGGGAGGTGAATCAGGAGGAGGAGGAAGAGGAGGAGGAGGAGGAGGAGGAGGAGGAGGAGGAGGAGGAGGAGGAAGGGACACAGGATGATGAGGAAACTTCGAGGGGTACTTGGAGGTGTTGGTCCCTCTCTGCGACACTAAAGGGGATATGCGGCAAGAGCCCCGCGTTTAGATGCGTCCGATTCCGTCGCAATGACTACGACAAGCAATGATAAGCATAACGGGAGGAGGGTGGAGAGACAGCGCGATGGAGGGAGGAGGAGGCGATGACGCCGCGGGCGGAGCGTCCCCTCATCATCATCATCATCATCATCATCATCATCATCATCAGCAGCAGCAGAAGCAGCAGCATCATCAGCATCATCAGCATCATCAGCATCATCATCGGCATCATCACCATCATCACCATCACCATCAAAGGCATCATCGAAACATTCTCGTCATCGTCCTCCTCGTCATCATCACCATCGTTATCATGTTATTCGCCCCCCTCGTCCACCACAGTCCTCCTCCTCCGCTCCACATCCTCCTCCTCCTCCGCCTCTCATCGTCATCGTCATCATCGTCGTCATCATCATTATCTTCGAGTCACAGCTGCCACCGAAAATGCTCCGCTGGCACGTTGTGCGGGATTTGCCGCAAGCAACTGGATAGACAAACGTGGCACCATCTGGCAACACGTTCTGGCGAGCGTCGTTCCGGTGGAACGTCCAGCGCGCCAGCACCTCGTGGATCTCCCTGTCGGTGATCCGGCGGCCAGTCGCCTCCGCGTCCTTGATCATCGCGGCCGCGAGCTTGTCGGCCGTCTCGCGCTTCTGGCCGCTCTGGTCCATCCTCTCCGCCCCGCCAGTCATCCGGCGGCCCATGGAGGACATGAACTTGAGACCGCTGGCCCTGACGTCCAGCGATGACTTGATGCTCATCAGGTACTTGTCGAGGGCGTTCCTACAGGCCTCCCAAAGAGGGTCCAAGTAGATAGGGTCGGAGGAACACGCCGCATCGCCGACGCATCGCCGATGTACCGGCCATGCATTGGCGACGTCGGCGATGCACCGCCGCCGTCGGCGTAGAGAAAATCGGGCTCCGCATCGAGCCGCATCGCCAATGCATCGGCGATGCGGCGCAGTCCTCCGATCCCAGCGCCGACCCCACTCGGGAGGCCCAGAGCTCCTGTCTCTGGTGTGCACCAGGCGCAGCGGCACGGTCCGCAGGGGCCCCTTGGGGTGGGGCTTCACCAGGCGCACCTCGAAGTCGTGGAGCAGATCGGCAGGCCTGGCGCCCAAGGACAGCGCCTCGCCGACGGTGGCGGCTGTCGAGTACTTCGCGTGCCGGTCTACCGACTGCGGGGAGACCCCGTCTTTGCCCTCCAGCCAGATCAGCTTCGTCTGGCTGGTCCATCGCTCCGCGGCCCGGGTCGTGATGATGGAGAAAGGGCTCTTGCTCGTGTGCTTCAGGACGCTCTTCTTGACCCCCACCTTCTTGTGGTCCCCCACAGCGTCCTCAGGGAAAGACGCAACCATACACACTGTAGCCAGCGTGGACCCCAAACAGTGTTTCTAGCAAGATATGTTGTGAAATCAATGTTGGGCAGTCTATGTGGTGCAATATGTTGTGTGCACCCCGTGTGGTGCAGTCAACGCTGTCCAATCCTGACCCGCCCGCCTGGTTCTGCAGTTGTTAGGTGTTCCTAACCCCCCTCTTGCAAATCTCTCTCGTGCCCCATCCTTCTCCATCACCCTCGTCCCTTCCCTCCTCCCTCCCTTCTCCTGTTTTGGGGGCTGCGCCAACTACACGCGGCAGGTCAGGAAGACATGCCTCCAAGGGTGGTGCGATCGAAGACGACAAAGGTGAGTATCGAGGGTTGGAGATATACATGTTGAGTGACACCCGAGCAGATAAAAGCGAATAATCTTAAAATATTGATTTTGTTGTTGTTGTCGTCGTCCTCGCCCGCGACCCGGCCGCGACCCATCCCACGACCCACCCGCGACCCACCCCGCGCCTGCCCCTTCCCTCTTATCCGCAACTGCGGGTTGCTACGTTGTTGTTCGAGTCCTTCTTGTGATGGCTCTTGATGGCGTCTACCCTGCGCGGCGCTGCAGCACTGGCCTCCGTGTAGCCCTTCGGCATGGGCAGGAGGCTCTGGGCAGCACTGAACGACGCCGCGGTGGGCCACACGCAGCCGGCCTCCTCCAGCTGCTGCTTGAGTTCGTCCGACGTCGCCTCCCAATTTCTGCGGCAACTCACGGGAGCCTCTCGTAACATCTTGATGGCTCTTGCGAATCGACGCTAACCGACGCCATTCGACGCTGAATCGACGCTAACCAACGCCAGCTCGGCGCCATCCCATCGACTACCACCCGCTGATCGACGCTAGTGCACTGAAGACGAAATTGCAAGGACATACGCAGCACCCCGCAGTTGCGGATAAGAGTGAAAAGGCGGCGGGGTCGTCGGCTGTCTGCCAGGCTCTGGAGAAGCCAACCGCAGGCGCCGATTTTTCTGAGAATTGTGCAACGAGTCCGCTGCAGGCGCATAATTTTCGTCAAAGCAATGTGGGTGGGTCGCGGTTGGGTCGCGGGGTCGGTCGCGGGGTGGGTCTCGGGCGGGTCGCGGGCGCGGACAACGACAACAACAACATCAACAACAACCACAACAACAACAACAAAAACACCACCACCACCAGCAACAATCATTGTGATACTGTTCGCTCTTACGCGCCCGCGTGCAATTCAACACGTATATCCCAAATCCTGGATACACGCCCTCTTCGTCTTCGATCGTACTCCCTTAGGGGCACATTTTTGTTACCTGCAGAGTGTATGTCGTACAGTCCCTAAGCCAGGGTAGGAGAGGACGGATGGAAGGAAAGGACAAGGGGCAGGCGGGTTGCTGAAGCGTGGGTCCTGCATGAACCGCGAGGAAGTCTCGAGCGATAGCGCGATTCCCAGATAAATCGTGAGAAAAGCCAGAAGCAAGAGCGTGATTCCTGAGTGTTGAGGGCGCGGCGTGTGAATAAATTGCGAGGAAGCCCCACGAAATAGCGCAAATCTTGTATACATTGTGAGGAAGTCCCGCGCGAGAGCGCGATTTGGGAATACACTGTGAAGAAGTATCAAGCGGGAGCCGTTGTTGAACTCTCACTACTGAGGAATGATCATTGTTGACCCCCTCCCTCTGGTGACCATTGTGTTTTTTCAATTGAAGTGCTTCCTCTGGGGCTCGCACCCTGTTTTGTTTTATCAAAGAAAATCACGTGGCTCAAACTGGGCCCCTGGCCTCTGGTTTAAGACAACGGCGGTTCCCGCCTGATATTTCCTCACAGTTTATTTCCAAATCGCGCTCTCGCGCGGGTCTTCCCCACAATTCATGTACGCATCGCGCTCTCGCGTGGGACTTCCTCACAATTTATTCAGACGATGCGCCCTCGGCGCTCAGGAATCACGCTCTCGCTTTGGATTTTCTCACGATTTACTTGGGAATCTCGCTATCGCTCGAGACTTCCCACGATTCATGCAGAACCCACGCTTCAGCAACCCGCCTGCTCGACCTGGTCACCTGGGCCCTCCTTCCCGACCTGTCCGCTATGGGTCTGCCCACCCGATCTGCCCGTCCGGTTCTCTTTGCCCCCCTCCTGCTAGTTTCTCTCGGGCTCCATTGTTCTCTTTCCCCCTTCCAGCCGTCCTCTTTTCTCTTGATTTAGAGGCTGCACAACATGCACGTGGCATAAGGAAGATGTACCCCCAAGGGGGTACGATCGAAGACGGCGAGGGCGGGTACCGAGGGTTTGGGATATACGTATTGATTGGCACGTGAGCAGATAGGAGCGAACTGTCTTAGAATGATTGTTCTTGTTGTAACTCGGAGGCCAGGGGACCCAATTTGGTAACACCTCGCTTTTCTTTTTTGTGTTAAAAAAGTGCGAGCTTCGGGAGAAGCACTTGAATTCAACAAGTGTCATGGTTACCGGGCAGGGGGGGTCAACAATAATGATTCTCTAGGAATGCTAATTCAAAAAAAAAAACACAACAACAAAAACAATCATTTTAATACCGCTCGATCTTACAGGCATGCGTGTTTTGCCCTCTGTATACCCCAACCCTCGATACCCGCCCACCACTCCGTCTTCGATCGCACCCCCTTTCGGGGGGGATATCTTCCTTGTCGGCCACTGACTGAAGTGCGAGGAACTCTCGAGCGAAAGCGACGTTCCTGAGTTCGGGGGCCTCTCTGGCCAGGCCAGGGGCTCTGGGAATACATAGCACGGGAACCCTTGTCGCCGTGTCTGGGCCGCTACCAACTTGCCTGACTTACAAGAAAATCTCGAGCGAGAGCGCCACTCTTGAGTTCGGAAGCCTCTCTGGCAAGGGCCTCTGCGAATACATCTTGAGGAACGAGAGCCCTTGTCGTCGTAGTTGAGCCTCCACCAATTTGAATAAATCACGAGAAAGCGCCGTTCCTGAGTTCGGGGGCCTTCCTGGCCAGGGGCTCTCGGAGTAAATCGTGAGGAAGTATCGAGATGTACCGAGCAGGAACCCTTGTCGTCGTGGCTGGGCCTCCGTCAACTTGATTGAATTACGAGGGGGTCTCGAGCGAGAGCGCCGTTCCTGAGTTGGGGAGCCTCTCTGGCCAGGGTGTCTCGGGGTAAATTGTGAGGAACTATCGAGCGGGAGCCGTTATCGTCGTAGCCGGGCCTCCAAGGGCCTTCTTGTACTCAAACCAACGCTCGAGCGGGAGCCTCGTTTTCAGAAACAATATAACTGGCGACGAGGCCAGAGCGCGCGGAACCGTTTCCGGAGATCAACAATAATCATTCTCTACAAATGAATACTCAACAACAGGATCGACAACAACACCACCAACAACAACACTCCCAACAGCAGCAACAACACCAACAACAGCAACACCACCATCATCAAGAACAACAACAACAACACCCCAACACCAACACCAACGCAACAACCATAACTACAATCCGCACAGCGGAACCACTTCAGCCATGCGCCCAGGGACAGTGAATGACCGTTCGGCCCGCTCATCTAACAAGGCCCTCATGATTTACCACAGAACGCCTCCCAGTGGTCTAACACGTAGAACACCAAGCTGAAGCGGTCGGTGCCGAGCCACTCTTCCACGGCGTGGGCACGGTTCCCGTCGATCAGCGTCGCCGTGTTTCGGATATCGAGCATCTCCTTGTCGTCTTCGTCCAACTGCGCTATCTGCATGCTCTTGTCGTCCTGCGGGCAACCGCATTCGACACCTACACTGGCGAAACTGCTTTTCTTTTAATGAACCCAGCGCGATCCCAATCAGGGAAAAGCAAAGAAGGCACTGCTCGGCAATGCTTGCTTTGCTTTGCTTGGCGCTGCTTCGCGTTGATTTGCATTGACTGGCGTTGCTTGGTATTGCTTTGCGTTGCTTGGCATTGCATTGCTTTGCGTTGCTTGGCATTGCGTGGCGTTGCCTGGCATTGCTTGGCCTTGCTCGGCCCTGCCCGGCATTGCTTTGCACGTGTCATTGCTTCGCGCTGCCTGGCGCTGCTCTGCCCTGCTACCGGGCAGACGGGCAGCCTGGGGCAGCCTGGCCATCTGAGGAAGGCCGCGCAAGCCGGGGAAGGCCGGGCAACCGGGCAACCGGGCAGCCCCGAGGGGAGACCCAGCCAGCGCTTGCACCCCACCCTGCCTCTGGGCGCAAGTGGCGGCCAAGCGCGCTTCGTCTTCCTCCCCTTGCTTGCGAGGCGGGGACTTATCCGTATCCAGCGCCTGGGAACCGACGTCCTGGAGACCCAGAGGGCGGCGGATAGAGATGTATTTTGCCCCTGTGGACCCAAATGCATCCATGGCCACCGCCTGTCGAGGACTCCGAAAATCGATCCTCCAGGGGGTGGTTTCTTGTGGCGTTCGAAACCTGGATAGAGGGGCAGTCCAAAGCGCATGAAAGCTTGTAGGAGATGCTTGGAAGAACGCTTGAAAGGATGTATGGGGAGCTGACAAGCTCGAGAAAGAAGCTTCGCAGGAGCTCAAGAAAGGCTGCGAACGAGCTGCACAAGAGGCTTGCGGCGAACGTGGTGGGAACGAGTAGGAAGCGTTCCCAGAACATGCTGCAACCTCACGAGAGTCGCTGCGACGCTGCTTGACTGGCGCTGGAAAGAGCTCCTGGGCCAAGGCCCTGCGCTGCCGTCTTCCAGTCTGAAGCCCTCCTGGCGCCCGGAGAGCTATCCGGGAACTCCGCGGGCCGCCCGAGCCCATGCCCAGGGTCTCAACCCCTGGGCCGTGCGCCTGGAGTCTCACCCCCCCAGCCAGGGTCCCAGGGTCCCAACCCCCGGGGCCGCGCCCTCACAGAACTGAAGGAACGATCGCGCGCGGGCTTCCACCCTCTCGACGTCTGAACGTCTGAATGCTTGCAAGAGGCGCTCGCAAAGGAGCTTGAAAGCATGCCTGGGGAGCTGGAAAGCTTCTGAGAGACGCTCTCAAGGATGCTTGTGACTGGGGGGCTTGCAAGCTTCCGAGTGGGAGCTTCGCACGAGCCTCCGAAGCGCTTCGAAGGACCTTCGAGAAAACTATTGGGAACGAGTAAGAAAACGCTTCCGGGACAAGTTGCAACTTCAAGCCAGTCCCTGCGGGGATGCCTGCCCGGGAGTCGTGGAGAGGAAGCTGGCCTACCCTGCGCTGCCGGCTTCCAATCTCAAACCCTCTCAGGTTTCAGAAAGCTATGTGGGAGGAGTGTATAAACCCCCTCCTCGGATTGTTCCCCTGTGGGGAGGGGGTTGCCACTGCTCTCGATTCGTGCACCCCCCCTCCCCCGGTCGAAACGCCGCCAACCAGGAACCATGGGCAACCCCCACCATCCCTGTCAAAACGTTCTCCTGAAGAAGAACCCAAGCATATGAAATTGAAAGCACCGAAATTATCCGCCGGCCCCCTTGCGGGGCCACCAGGCTGCGAGGGTGAAGATTGCAGCTCCCTGTTCCAGGGGCAACTTGGGGTTTCCACAGTTACATCCCTGCTTTCTGCTTCCTTACTGTTAATTGCTGCCGTCCGCGCGAGGGGTGGGAGCCCCAAACGGGATTTTCTACCACGCCCTGGGAAGGTTCTCTGAATTCCTGGGGGGCGTGGGGCAAGCAAAAATACATGATGTTCGCGTCCCCGAGGCCATAACCTTTAATAAATTACACCAAATTCGCGTCCCCGAGGCCATAAATCCTTCCAAATTACTCCGAACTCGCGTCCCCGAAGCATAAGCCTTCGAAAATTACACCGTACTTGCGTCCGTGAGGCCACAAACCCTCATAATATATACAATATTCGCGTCCCCGAGGCCATAATCCTTCGTCAATTAACTAATAGTTGCGCCCCCGAGGCCATGCATTCTCATACATTACATAATATATGCGTCTTCGAGGCCACAAGCCCGCGTCAATTATATCAGATTCGCGTCCCCGTAGCCGTAGACCATTGTAAATTAACCCATATTCGCGCCACCGAAGCCTTGAACCCTCGTAAATTAATCTTGGCCATCGCATGAAATCCCGACATTGCTTCACGTCAGCGTCTTGACATCCCAACACAGCTCTGGCAAGTCTCATTCTAAGAGAGGAGGGCCTGCGGCAAGGGGCGAAGCCCTTACGGATAAGTACCGCCCTCAGTGAAACTCATTATGGGGCCACGAAGCGTGTGAGGTGTAAGGTGTGGGGTGTGAGATGTGTGTGTGTGTGTGTGCGTGTGCGTGCTGTTTTTTTTTTTGTGTGTGTGTATGCGTGTGTGCCGAAGTGGAACGGGGCCACCATGCGAACGCAGCCGCTGGGGCCTTCGATGGACCTTCTTCTTGGGCCACGAAATGTGTGAGGCGTGTGCCGAACTGCGGCGCGGTCGCCATTCTGCGGGGTGTGCCGAAGTAAGGCGGGGCCGCCATGCGAACGCAGCCACTGGGGCCTTCGGTGGAGCTCCCAGTGGGATCACGAAGTGTTCTTTTGCTGGTTTTCCAACAAGAAAAAAACACGAGCTCTCGCCTCAGCGCCGCGCGAATTCGTCTTGAGCAATTGCCACAATTACAAGGGTGACGGAAGAGGGGTCGTTTGCAAATTGGAGCTCACGCCACAGCGATGCGCACTGGTGAAAAGCAATTCCTTTTGAATGTGGGCTTTCGCCTTAGCGCCGCTCGCACTTTTCATAACAGTTTGCAGCATTTGCAAGGATGGAGGACGCTTCCTTTTCAAAATGGGGTTCTCCCTTGACACTACCTTGCACACATTACCCGGGAGACGTACCAAACGCTTGCGCAACACGTGGTCAGATCAGTTGTATCGAATTTTGGGGGTGGCGGCAAAACAAGGCCTGCAATGTGTTGCGAAAGCGACGTCGTGGGAGGTTCGCGCGTTGTGGATTCACGGGGGTAGTTGAACTTCCTTTTCGCCCTTGCACCATTATGAAAGTTACAGGGGCCATTGACCTTTCCTCCCTGCATCATTCACCTCCTCCTCCTCCTTCTCCTCCTCCTCCTCCCCCTCCCCCTCCTCCTCCTCCTCCTCTTCCTCCTCCTCCTCCTCTTCCATTCCTTTTCCTCACAAGCAAGCTCTTCCCTGTTGCACCCCGAGACGTGTCGGTAGGGCGAGCTGGGTGTTTCGCCCGAGAGTTCCTCACCACTTATGATCCTTAAGCTTCGAAGTTGCAACAGTTTAACCGATTGAGGGCAGACCGTTGTCAAGATGTGGCCCTCGCATGAGAACCGCGCACGCTCGTCTCAGAAGTTCGCACGAGCTTCACGGATGGAGGGCGGGCGTCTTCAAACTGTGGCTCTTGTCTTAGCGCCGCGCACATTCGCCTTAAGAGTTTGCAAGAGTTTCACGAACGGGGGGCGGGCCGCTTTCGAAACATGGCCCTCGCCTGAGCGTCGCGCGCAGCCGTCTTAAAAGGTTGCACGAATTTCACGGATGGAGGGTGGGCCGTTCATAACATGTGGCTCTCGCCATAGCGCCGCGCACACTCGTATTCAACAAGTGCAAGAGCTTCGCGGGTTGAGGGCGGCTCCTTTTCAAAGTGTGGCTCTCGCCTTAGCGCCGCGCACATTCGCCTTACGAGTTCACAGCAGTTTCAAATATTCGAAAGGATGGCGTCCCAGAAATTGTGTTGCAGCACGATGTAGGACTGTCAGGGTGCAACAGTGACGTTGATTCGCGGTGTTGAAATCCCAGGAAGGGTGTTCTGGCAAGGTTCGAGATCGTCAGGACGCAGCAGTCACGATGATTTGCGGCGTTGCAGTGAGGCGCAATGATAAAGGGGGGGACTGGCATAGGGAGGGAAACATCGACCTGGAATCGGAGATACATCGCCGATAGATCGGCCATATGCCCCCGATAGTGATCCCGCAAGTTCCTGGGCAGGCTGGGGCTATCGGGCCCCTATCGGCGATCAATGGGCGAGCCGGGGTCGATGCATCCCCCCTATGCCTGTCTCCCCCTATCGTTGCCCCTGGTGAAGACTCTCGGATGGTGTTTTGGCGCGGTTCCGGATTTTCAGACGTCTGTCTTCCAACGGAGCAAGTTCCTCAGTGAAAGTAGACCCTTGTAGGGACCTGTGAAAAGGGAACTTGGAGGAAGTGTGTACTGCAACGTCGTTGACGGGTCTTAGGCTTACACTGGTCCTCCTCCTCCTTTTCCTCCTTCCTCTTCCTACGCCATGGGACACCGCTGGGCAGGCCCCAAAACAGCCCTCGAAAGTGGCTACGCTCAGTCCCCCAGGGATGGCAAGGTGTAATCTGAATCCCTGTGCTGCCTCCCCCCGCTTCAAAAGTGGCGATGTTTTCTCAGTGCGCACCCCTAAGGAAATTGAGAAAACTAATCTGCATCCCCGTAGGGCGTCACAGCGTTTGGCCCTCCAGCAGCCCCCGAAAATAGAGGCGACGATTTCGCAGATCGCAGCCCCCGCCCACAGGGGTGGCGAAATCTAGTCTGGTCCTTCAATGACCTTGCCCCGCCAACAACCTTTGAACATGGTAACGGTTTCGCAGTTCGCAGTCCCCCTAAGGATGGCGAGGTCCAATCTAACCACCCGAGGGACATCTTTGTGCTGCCCCCCCAGCAACCCTCGAAAGTGGTGACAATATCGCAGGTTGCGACCCCGCAGGGATGACGAGGTTGAACATGAATCCCCATATGGTGTCACTGTGCTGCCCCCCCCACCACCCGCAGCCCTCGAAATTGGCGACACATCCCCAGTTCGCCCCTCCCTCCAGGGATGGCTCGGTCGAATCAGAACCACAATGGGACGTCACTGTGTGACTCCCCCCAAGCAGTTATCGAAAATGACAACAGCTTCGCAGTTCTCCCCCCCCAGGGATGGCGAGGTCGAGCCTGAAGCCCCGCAGGACGTCACTGTGCTGGCCGCCCCAGCAGCCATTGAAAGAAGCAACACTTTAGCAGTTCGCAGCGCCCGAGGAGGGGCGTCACTGGCCGACACCTCGGTGCCGCCAGCGAGGAGCGTCCGCTCGCCGCTGGCCGCCGTCGTCGTTGTCGTCGTCTGAATCCCCGTCGGATGTCCCTGTGCTGCCTCCCCCCCACGCTCCCCAAGCAACCCTCGGACGTGGCGATAGCTTCGCCGCTCGTAGCCCGCCCAGGGATGGCGAGGTCTAGAAAACATCCCCGTAGGACGTCCCTCGATTTATCCGCACCCGACTTAACCTCGTCCTGGCTTCGGGCTAAAGCCCTGCCCCAGAGTGGCGAGGCGCTGCCGAGAGCACCTCGGGCGTCGGGGCGGGGGGGGGGGTCAGTGGAGCGTGTTGTCCACGGATCGCAGCCTTCCGCTTCGAGATGTCCTCACAATATCAGATGATGTATATCTTGATATACGGCGGGGTTACAGCTCGGTAGAGCTCCTATATTCCCAACTCCAATCAATTGATGTCAAACGAGAGAGACAGCGAGAAGCAATCTTATTCCAAACAATCCAGGCGTACGTGTGCGGTCCCCCTGAGCTCCGGACCGAGTTTCTTGAAACTCACCAGACTGGCTCTAGTCTGGCTTCGCGCCAGAATGGCTGCGGACAGGCGGCCTAGGCAGGGCTGCACAGGGCTCTCACTGGGGCTCCCTGGGCTCACATACTCACAGAGGGTTGTCTCTACCTTCTCAAAGTATCGAACTTCGAACGAGACTGACATGCCCCGAGCCATATGTGAAATCCTCGCCTGTCTGTCCACATAGCTCAGAGGGTTTCTTATGCCTAATATGACCTGGTACAGTGAACTTCCGCCTCGTCATTGAGGCGTCGCATCTTGCATCATCTGCTGTCGCAGTCCAGGGTGACGAAAGTCACTCACAATGTCCAGGTCAGTGTCCTCAATCTCCATGTACTCAGGGAAGAGCTGCCACGCATCGTCTGCATCCACTGCAAAGCCCGTCTCAAGCGTGTCCAAACCTTTTTGTTTCCGATGCTTCTCTGAGATGAAGTTGGAATCGTAGGTCAGCTTCCAGGTACCTCGTTGCTGCCAGAGGTTGTAGCTCGCCCGGGCCTTCTCCGCGTTCTTCGTCATGCAGTCGCTGAGCTGGGCGCCACTATGACACCAGCGTAGTGATGTCGCCGTAGCTGCCATACCTCTCTTCAGTGCCAGGGCCTCTAGCGCGCTCCTCTTGTCCTTCATGCCCAGCGCGCTGCTCTCCGACCTGTCCAGCGCGTCAAACACTCTACGGCAATCTAGTACCAGTGCTCCTGGAATGCGAGCACATCCTTGCGCCCACTGCTTCAGAGGAATTGGACCAATGATGATCTCGCTTAGCAATAGGCGGCAGAACTCCAGCTCTTCTTGGGCTTCGCTGGCTGCTTGAACTTCCGCTGCGCTTGAGCTTCGGCATACCCTGGGCAACTTTGCTGATGCCCATGAGACCAGAGAAATCGGTGCCTCCTTATTATGCAGCAGCGCCTGGCCCGTCATAAAGATCAGAAAGCCTCCTTGCGAGGATCCATCTCTGCGTACATTCCACGCTGCGTCCGAATACCCCACCGGACACGGATTAATGTGCTCCTCCATGATCAGTTCCTTGACCGCTTCCACTCGTGCTCTCCTGACCAGCTTGTTCGCCTGCATCAGGGTGTTGATCGTCGCCGTGTTCGTGTATGCTAGCAGCAATGACAGCTCGGCACTGATGAGTGGAATACCTTGAGTGGATAGCCACATATAGTTGTCCAAGAACTGCTCGTAGATGAGAAGCCTCTCCCGGTGTCACTCCAGCTTCTGGATCCTTCCGACGTTGAGTGGGTATGTCGATCTCCTTCAACACCTGCGCGTAGTCGACCATGTTCAGATGGATGCGACCCCAGCTCTTCGTTCGACCATTGTATTCTTGCCGAATCCGAGTCCCACACTGAACAAAGTCTTGCGTCTCCCAGCTGCCCCACTCATAGGCGCCATGTAGTTCTTGAAGTGCGTCTATTGCGGTATTGCGGCATGAGAGGCATTGTTGATCGCAATCATGCAATCGTCCACGTGTGCGACCGCAATGCCGACGAGACGGCCTTCGGAATCTCTTAAGCACCAGAGGCACGGCTCCGTCACTGACTCGACCCAACCGAGCTTCTCCATGTCCTTGCGCACCCTGGTCCACCACCTTTTCGGAGCGTTTACCAAGCCATAGACGGCCTTCTTCAGCTTGATGCACTGATGATGTTCAAGTCGCAAGGCTTCTCGAAGTTCTTTGACGGGATCCGCTAGAACGTTCCGATTTTCTTCTCCTAGATCTCCTTGAAGAAAGGCGGCCTTCACATCGCCCTTGAACACCTGGAATCCCATCGACGCTGAAACTCCCAAGAGCATCTGTCGCGCTCTACGGCTGCATGTAGGTGATGCCGTCTTGATCTGTCCCAAGCTCGGACCAGTATAGCCGAGGACCACCAGGCGTGCCTTGAGGTCGCCCGTCTCCTTCTTGGTGATGACCCAGCGCATTTTCATTAACGCTCCGGGATGTGCACCAGCGCGACTGGCCGCCTCACATACGCGATACTTCAGGAACGACTTGATCTCGTTCTCCTTGGCGAACGGTAACTGCTTCTTCTCCTCCGGTGTGAGATCCTTCAGCTTGACCTCAACCTTGTTCTGCTTCACCAAGGCTGCCAGCATTCTCTCTGGATTCTTCTCCAGCTGGCCTAGGCCCCTTCGTCTATCGTGAAGCCCACAAGTACTGCGAGCCCTGCTTTGTCCTCCGTAGAGTATCCGACGAGGTCTTCCTGCTTCGCCTTCTGCGAATGCGAATACTCCCAGGGTGACCTCCACTCCGGAGAGACTTCTTCTTCAGGATCTGCGCGTCCCAGATCGGCCCTGTAGACGTCAGGCGCCTTCGCCCTCAGCGTTTCCATGTAGGTCACGAAATCGGCGCGATGTCTCTTCATGTCTCTGTCATCAGGAGGTTCAACACTCGCTTCCCGCTTGGTGATACCCTCTGGAGGTGGCTCGTTGTCCCAGGGAACTTCGGTTTGAGGTCTGTCGGCAGGTCGGTCAGGTCCTCCTCCTGGTTCTTCGGGAACTTCTGCTGGTCCTCCTCGTAGATCTTCTTCTTCGTGATCCTGTCCATGTTTGTCGCCTGCCTCAGAGAAGAGGTGATCTCCGTGGTCACGAGGTGGTTCCCGGTATTGATCTCCATCCGGTCCATCTTCACCTTCGGGAATGTCATGCCATTCATCTGGTCCTGGTTGGTCGGCTAGGTCATCGAACGAGCCCTTCGTAAGGTCACGCACTAGCTTCTGGAACTGGTCTGAGCTGCCGGCCGAAATACTCTCCAGTGTCTGCTCTGCCTTCGTGACGGTGCGCAGGTGCGCTGCTGCTGCTCGTACCAGTCGATCGCCATCCACAAGCCAGACAACTCCGCGACGTCCTGCTACTCCGTTCTTGACCTCGCGCTCTTGCGTCAGCACCGTAGCTGGACCATGGATGCGTCCAGACATTCCTTGCTTCGTCTTTTGGCTGTTACCCTTGGCGCTCCTCCAGTAGTGTGCCTTTTCGCCAGGCTCCCAGATCTTGAACGGTCGCGTCTTGGCTAGCAGCGCTCTCTTCGTCTTCTCGGACAGGTAGTGTTCTACACAGGCTTTGTACGCCGTCCGTTTGTTCAGCACGAGCTTCTGAAATTGATCTTCCTTCACCTCTGCGCTGAGAGTGGAGGGATTATCCTCATCTTGTAGACCATGTCCAGCCGGAGTGCGACCCATGAGGAGCAGAAGTGGACTGTAACCGTTGTGCCTCATCAGGTCGTTGTTAGCGGCGCACGCCCACGTGAAGATCTCCTGCGGCTCGATGTCGTCCGGAACTTCCCAGGCCATCCGAGTCGCAATCTCCTTGATCGTCTCTATGAATCTCTCGACCACGCCCATGCGCCAGTGAGCTTCTCCAGGTTCTGGTCGCCATTCGATTCCATGACCTGATAGCCACGCGCGATGTTCCGCTTGTCGGAAGCAACCTTCAGGATCCGATCTCAGAACTGCTGGTTTGCCGTAGTGCTGGA